TGCAACGTACCATTACCAAGACTATGGTCTTGGACCGAAAATAAACACAACTAAATCCCAGGCTTGGAGTGTGGAGCCAGTGATAATATAGCATCATACTCTTTCTGAAATCTATCCTATAGTGTAGTCAAAACACCAACACCAGTATTTTTGTAGGATCATATCGCTGAGATCAGAACCAACCATTAGATCTGGCACAATCCGTAAAGTTGTTCCCCATGGGATAAAATAACAGTTCGATGTGGAAAACCCATGCTTTCCCTAGGAAAATATCTACACATAGTGGGTTCTCCAACCATCTTAGGTCAACGTTTGCAGGAGACCATCCACCGTCCCCCCCGGGCATCAAACATGGTTCAACGGAAAATTAACCAGTCTAAATCACCCACTGGTAGATGACTTTTTCATTATTACCTCTTTATTTACCAATTTTTTGTCATCCACTGTAAAGTCATCCTCCATAACTGGCCCATAACCATGGTAAATCAACCTACTTGCCACCCATATTTGACCTTTCAAAAAGCGGCTCGACGTCCACCCTTCACTCGGCCTGCGATGCCATCTCTCGCTGGTCAAAAATCCCCATTTTTGGATGGTCAAAAACCTCCAAAAAGCCGATGAAATCCCAGTTTGTCTACGAATTTCTGCGGCTTAACACCTTTTTCTTGCTGCTTGAATAGATATCTATAGATTCTACTCAACTCCTCATGTTTTGGATGATGAGCTCCCCATTTTTCTGGTGCCAGGTGATCACCTGGGGTGGGGCCTCTCCGGGCGGCCAGCGTCCGTTCGACCTTGGCGCGCGGCGCCTGCACGGAGTGGTGGGGAGCAACGCGGCCTTCGCCGGCATCCTGGAAGATGACACCGTGCCCCACGGCATTTTTGGTCGGAAAGGGACACTTCCAATGGGGGCTCTCCGGAGATCCCCACTTTTCTATACTTTTCGGGTTTTGCCATTGAATCCGCGCTGCTACTTTTCGAGTTTTCGCGTTTGCCCCGGGCAGATCCCCAGTCACCATGGCATGGTGACGACTGGATGATTTGAACGCCAAGGAAACCGCCATTTGATTGAAATAGAAGAACCAAACCGTTTGTTCAGCCTCAAAAAGATGCTTCTGAGTCAAAATCCACATTATTCGTCATTCTTCTTGGTCCACCAATATCTCATATTATCTGCATTGTCGCTGGCCGCTAGTCATATCTTGTGTTCTGTTTGCCTACATCCCTCCTTAAACTCTAATGTAACAACCCCGTATTTCTCTTACTGGATCGTGAGTAATCAAAATTGCACGAATCTGTGGATTTGTGGCTTCAAAAAATTACCAATTCCCATCAATTCCCCTAAAGTTCCTTCCCCCTGGCATGAAATACTCTCTCTATCTCTCTCTCACATTATGATTTAGTAGGATCTAGTGATTCTCGCGTTCCTTGGGGTATTTGATGCTTGAGGGATGGGATTTTACCATATTCTTGCCGGTGATATCACCTATTTTTCACGTTAAAACCACTGGAAATACCACTGGAAATATGATATATATATATATAACCCCTAGATACCCATCAATAGATGTCCATCCTACAGGCTAAAGTCCCATGTCCCTGCATAAGTTGTTTCACCTTGTGCACCCCATTCCATCCACTGGTGGACAATCATTGCATACAGATAGCAATGGCTCGGGGTACCCTCTGGTAAACATACAAAAAGCTATTGAAAATTGCCATTTATAGTGAGTTTTCCCGTTAACAATTGTGATTTTCCATAGTTATGTTAGTTTACCAGAGGGTAAATCCTGACTTACTTTTCTTGCTGACAGTTTCTGTGCAGACCCATTGGCAAATTTACCTAGATGTTTTTTGTTTTGTGGTTTTATAGCTTCCAGTTCTCTATGACCCAATTGAGTCCCACAATCTGAATCATCATGATTATCCTTTGGATCTATTTGGGATGTCCCCCTTCCCGGACAAACCCAAATACCGTAATTATTGTATACGGCTACATATCCCATTAGACTCCATGATATTTTTTCCCCATGATATCCCCATTCTACCCCTCCACTTAGACATATCTCATTCACCCATTACATCCCCGTAGATCCAATTCTATCCTTGTTATTAACCCATATCCCACAACATATCCCATATTGTTTGTTGCAATTTATTTAATTATTTAATTATATATAATTATATATGTTATTATGTACATCTGGATGAATTATGATGACCTCACTGTGATGCCGCTGCTAAATGGTGGGAATAATACGAGAAATCATCCAAAACAGCTGTAGAAAGAATCAGGTGCGTAAATTGTTGTAATTTAGCCAGAGATCCATATTATATGTTCCTACATATGTTCCATTACTTTCGTTTCCCATGATATCAAAACAACATATCCCCATTGAGGGGTGTTTTTATATCATGTTTATATCCATAAACCATCCATACCCTCTGGTTATTTAACATAGCCATGGAAAATCCCTTATAAATGGAGGTTTTTAATGGGACAATTCACTACAAATGGGCCATTTTCCATGGCTATGTTAAATAACCAGAGGGTAAACCTCCGAAAAGTCTCAGAATCTCGCATTGCGACCTTTCAGGTGGTGACGTGGGGAGCGCACGATGAATGTGAAGGCTTCGACAAAGTCAAGCACGAGCTGTCACTTGACGTCCAGGGAGCAATGGCCAGGGGCTACTGCGACATCTCCCCAATGATGGGCATATTTTACAAAAAACGATGGAAAGATCCACCATTTTATAGCTGGGTAAATCCACTATTTCGACTGGGCCATTTTTTTTCATAGCTTTTTGTAGATGTTTACCAGAGGGTATGCTATTTTAAGAGGGAAATCAAATGGTGAACGGATTTTGGGGTGCACTATTTTCAGACACAACCACATGGGTTTGATGGTTAGGACATGTTTGGCACTCAGGAATTTCAAAAAAATGGTGATTAAACATGAAAAATTGAGATTCAACCAGAAAAAATGGAATATTAGTAGTGATCTAGTGGAATCTAATGGGATATAGATGGGGATATAAGCGGACATATACTGTAAATGGGATATAAAATCGGATATAATGTTTCATACTTGGGATCTAATGGGATGTAATGGTGGATATGGTCAGATGTAATGGCATATGACGAGATAAATGGGGATGCAATGCGATATAAATGGGGATATAAATGGGAATATAGTTTTTTTTTTGGGATATAACACCTCAACAGGGTTTGTCCAGAAATAGGGTATGCCCCAAAATTGTAGTTATAATTGGAAACATGATGATAATCCTATGGAGTTGGGGAAATTGTCCTGTTTTCAGGCAGACCCACACATTTTTTTATATATAGGTACTCGGTTGCTATGCAATTTACAGTTTTCCAGTCATGTTGTCGGTTACAAGCCACTTACTCGGCGACCGGTACACAATCAGCACCTCTGTGTTGCATGACATGAGCAACAGTGATGGTCGTGTGTACACAGCAATGCCATAGAATGCCTGATCTATGACGCAAGGATGTACCCAAGAACAGCCCCGAAGCATTTTTGTTGCTTACGTTGAGGCAAACTCGGGAATTCCACAAAGTCACTTCAAGCAGTATCTTCTTCCGAAGCACAGTAAATCGCCCAAGAAATCTGGGGATGACCATCATCTTCCCATATTTTCCATTTTATGCTTATATTTTCCCAACATTTCCCAGATATTTTTTCCATCATTTTTTCCACTATTTCCCATGATTTTCCCAACGTTTTTCCAAAGGTTCGACGTTGAGAGCCTCTGCAGCAGCAGCGGCGCCTTCGCCGCGCTGCGCCGGGACGGTGCGGTGCGCTGCTGGGGCGATGCGGCGCTGGGCGGCCACGGAAAGGCGGAGACGGCGACGGCGCTGGTGGCCACGCTGGGAGCGTTTGCGGTGCTGAGGTTGCGGTGGGGGGGTTGGGGGACAATACCCTCTGGTAACTTAACATAACTATGGAAAGATCCACCATTTTTCATGGGAAAATTCACTATAACTATGGTGATTTTCAATAGCTATGTTAAATTACCAGAGGGTAGATTTTTAATGATTTACCATCTGGTTATGACTAACATAGCCATGGAAAATGCCAACCATAAATGGAGGTTTCTAGCTGGGAAAATCATCTATAAATGGGCCATTTTCCATGGCTATGTTAAATAACTAGAGGGTATATATATATATATATATGGGCATTTCCTGAAATGGGAATATACCCCTAAGTCATGCATTTTAATTTTGGATTTCCGATTGTAAATTATAAACCATCCATTTTAGGGTACCCCCATTTCTAGAACCCCCCATATCTATATTATGTATATATATATATATTGATATACTGATATATATATACTGATATATAGACTGATATATTTAGTAGATGAAATATAGACTATAAATTGATATGTACATATATTTGGATAGATAGACTGATAGACTGATAGACTGATAGACTGATAGACTGATAGACTGATAGACTGATAGACTGATAGACTGGACCGATAGACTGATAGACTGACAGGCTATATACTGTATATATGTATATATATATATATATACGTCCAATGGAATGTGACTATGAAAATATTGTAGAATATCGTGCAATATATGGGATATAACTAGGGAATATATCATATATATATATTATGTATATGTATACGATGTGGATAAGACCAGATATAGGAGAACCGAAATGATTCTTGGATAATTGGCAAATGGTAGGAAGAGGGAATCATATCTGTTAATCCAAATTCAACCTGGGGCCAGTGGTGGGATCCCAGCCTTGCACAATGATTTAATGTAAGGCAATATCCATGGGCATTGGGTCAGGTTATATATATATATACATATACATATACATATCAATTGTGATTGGTCAGCGGATATCAACTCCAAATCACCAAGCGAAGCCTCTTCGCCCAACCTTCAAGCTCGTGCAGCGGCCTCGCTGCTTTTTCCACAAACGCTCCAAGTAGCCCCCAAGCTACTAACGGCCGTCCACGGCCAATGCCAGTTCTATGGCGTCAAGGCTTTTCCCACCCGCCTCTCTTCCTGAAAAACCAATGGCTTCCTGAGCCACGTGCCTGCATGAGACAGCCCCTTTGGTTACCTGAACGTGCATGGCATGGTGCAACAAGTGGAAATAGCCAAGGACACTGGTGGGAAATGAGCATGATTCACACTCCCAAAACTTCAAAGTTTTGTGCTTTTAGCTCATTTCCTCAGTAGTGGTTTTCAACCAGCGGATTCGATTTCGAGTGGTGGCACGTTCCTTCAACACTTGCTCAATGTCGTGAAGACAATATGAACCATGTTTGAGGGTTGAACGCAGGAACGTGGCTTCCATGGTCTTGGTAAGTGCATCCGCAAGTTGGGCCCCACTGTGAACCCAGTGCAGTTGGATACCTTCATCAAGTATGTCTTTTATGGCTCTGGCTTGCAGTTGGGTACGGTATTCTTGGCACTTTGGAACCGCTGTTCGTGTGGTGAGATCAAACAAGCTTTTACAGTCTGTTATGGCTAGATCCTTCTCATCAACTTTCATAGTGGGAACCGTTAAGGCCTCAGGGAGATTTGAAACTTCGCTAGGGTTTTGCCATCTGATACTTTGATCGAAGATCCAGGCCCAGTACAAACGAAGCCAGGTTAACTGGTCTAAGGTTGTAGACAAAGCCGATGTCTCTGCTGATAAAGTGCTTGTGACAACCCTCTGAATTTTCTTTGATCCCCATGAAATGGGACTGATGGGACAAGCTTTGTTTTGGGATATATCCTTATGGGTAGCCAAGATTATCATCCCCGCATGTGATTCAGGTTTCACCTTCGATGCAAAGGAAGCGTCCGAAAAGGCAAGAAATCTCAGGTCATTTGGTTTGATGGGTTGTATTTTTATGGTGACATCATGATGTTTCTTGGCAATGTGAAGGGCTTTATTGGCTGCAATTAAGGTGGAAACGGTGGCCTTGTTAATGTCTGATTGAAGAAAACTCAAAGAACTTGCCAAATCCGGTCGAGTGTGGACCGCAGCATACTGCAACGAGCCGATCAGGCCACGCAGGAGATGTCGTTCAGTGTCGGTCACTGGTGCATTCTCGTCAGCTTTTCTTTCTGTGGTGAGTGAAATGGGATTGATATTTCTTACATATTTTGATTGGGAAAGTTCAATGCTGTTATCAGTGTTTTGGTGAAGGTCAATGCCGGTGAATGTGAAAGTGTTTGACTTCTTTGATCCGAATGGGTACTTTTGTTCAAGTTTGGATATCTGTTGATGGAAAAATTCATCACCTCCATGTATGCCATCATCGACATGTATCCCAAGCACTCCTGAGAGTCTTTGAGTCTCTGGATTCTTCAGCAAGAAAACGCACGGATCAAATGGAGATGCAATGAACCCCAGGGACAGCAATTCATCATGTAGGGTCTTGAACCACAAAAATGGTGCATCGATAAGTCCATACGCTGACTTGTCAAGCTTGCATATTTCGTCCTTAGAAAGGTTCATGGCTTTCGCAAGTTCAGCTACTGGTTCCAGACCAATGGTTCGGTCTTTTTGCGGTCTGCCCTGCAAAAATGCTGCCTTTATATCGAAGGATCCAAGGTTCCATCCCATGGACGCTATCAGCTGAAGGATCAACATTTTTGATTGACGACCCAACGTGGGACTGTCCCTTGGTACCTCAGTGAGCTTTGGATCCATATACCCTAACACCACCAAACGTGCCTTGGGCTTGTGAGTGGCCAGCTTTGAATTGCCTGTGCAGTTACCTGATTGACCATCCAAAGGCTTCCATACTAATATCCAACGGCATCTCAAAATTTGTTCAGGTGCAAGTTTATGTCTGAGGATTTTGGATACTGTTCCAGTCTTCAACCAATTATTAACCTCAGCTTCTTTGGCATGTTGAAACGCTCGTTGTTCTTCAGCTGTTAGCATGGACAGTTTTACCTCTGTGCGTTGTTTCTTTTCGGTGGTGGCCAGAAGGATGTCATCTGGTGACCAGGACTCGAGGTCTTTGGAGCACAAGGCATTCGGGAGTTCCAGTTCACAGCGCCACGCACAGGGTTCCTCAATTGGATCCACAACCATGACTTCATCTTCAACACATAGGAGGTGTGTCGTTACCAACTCATCCCCTTCCTCAAGTTCCGGAATTGGAGTGTTTATTGCAGGGTTATTGACTTCATGGAAACTCTGGGAATTTGGTGTGGTAATAGCTTCAGGTTCATCATCTGGTTGTTCTTGAGATTGGCTGGCATTATCGGATTGCAAATTAGTGAGGGGATTATTTGGGTTGGGATTATTCATCTGACTTGGATTGATTATCTCTTGAGGATTATCATCGTCTTGAAATTGGTTGGGGATTCTTTGCAGGGTGTTCGAAAGTGGACTATTGGATGGGATGTTGTCGGGTTGGTCACTGCTGGGTATCTGGCGAGCTTCATGTGAACAAACTGGTCGGATATGTTCAGGTGCCCTTCTATGGAGTTTTCCCCCTTGGGTGGCCCATACTGAGTGCTGGTCTTCTTGAGTGATCACTTTAAGTGGTCCGAACCAATGTCCCCCTTTCGGATTTGGTTGCCACATCATGACCCATTCTCCAGCTTCATAGGCGTCTCGCTTGGGACGAGACCGTCTCAGGCATGCACGTCGGAGTGCCATGTCATTGTCTGCCTGGTGAAAGGCAGTACGAGCTTTCTCACGCAATGCCAAACTCCTCCTGAAAGCAATGCCTGTGGCATCTTCGCGGTCTGCACTTGCCAAAGAGGAAAATCCTTCAGAACTGCAAAGGGATCCAGGTAGTTTTGAGCATTTTCCAAACACTAGTGTTTCTGGGGAATACCCTCTACGAATACTCAAAGTGTTTTTCGCGTTGGTACATTGCAACAGGGCTTGCAGCAAGTCTTCATAGGTCTCTACTGGATACTCAAGATCTACTTTGGATAACATGTGCTGAAGGATGTCGCCATGGCGTTCACACCGGCCATTCTGCCAGTGGGCATACGGTGCAGTGGTCACGGGCTTTATGTCGTGACGTTGAAGAAAATTCTGAAAGGCTTCACTGAGAAATTCCGTTGCAGAGTCTGTTACTTTCATGTTCGGTGCCCCTGCCCACATGAGCCATGCCTCGGACAAACACCTGATGGCATTTTCGGTGGTTCTGCTCGGTGCTGGAACTGCCACATGGTAATTGGTTGCCTGATCAATGATGTGGTAAAAATGAAAGTTTCTCCCTGACTTGTTTGTCCAAGTGATTCCATCTACAAAGATTTTATCGTTGAAGTCCAATTCATGTTTTACCGTGCTTGGTCGGGCAATCTTTGGTTTCTTCATGGTGGCACATACCGGGCATGACAAGTCGAACACTGCCTGCTGGAGTTCAGTTCGAGCTCCCTGCTGGCGCAAAAGTGCACTGAATTGTTCTGGGCTCGGGTGGCAGAGATTCTGATGGGCTCGCTTGATCATTGCCTGTTCTTCCTTCGGCAAGGCCATGAATCTTGGACCATGTACTGCTGATGTTGGTGTCTCTTGCGAGATTTGGGAAACTGCTGGATCCCTTTCGATTATCTCATCACTTTCTTCAGAGGATGGTGCAACCAACGGATTACTCTCGGGTTCCTGCGTCTCATGCTTTTCCTGGGTTGCTGGAACAGTTTCGGATGAGACACCTGCATCTAGCCGAGATGCTTCAGCCTGTACATTTGGATCGCTCTTTGGCGGCATCGATGGAGCTGCTGTGGTGATGGGATTGGCTGCAAAGACAGTTATATTGACCCGACAGGGCAGTGACTTGCGCACGATTTTCCTTTGGGACAACGTGTCATGCTTCTCCCATTCTGGCTCCATTATGATACTGCCATTGCTTCTAAGTTTCATGATGGCTCGCCGAAAAGGTGCTTCCCTTTTGTTGAGACCTTCAGGTGGGGCCAAGGCACGTTCCGTTCCCTTACATGCAACAATACACTTGATTATCTTTTCAGGAAACATCTCTTGCATGGCTTGCTTGATGTCGGGCTGATCAAAAACTTTGCGACCTACTCTGGGAAGTATTTTTTCGATCTTCTGCATGATTTCATGTGCTTGATCAGGTGGTTCCTGACATGCTTCGGTGTTTGATGACGTGTCTTTATCTTCACCCATGGTCTTGGTTTTCTTGTGGATATGATCACTGTCGGATTGCCTGTCTGCAGACTGAGATTTCTTGGAACGGCCGGCAGACATTCGCTGGCGCTTGGCTTCCCTTTCACCGGCTGCACAGACTGCATCAATCAACACCAATGCTGGATCGCACAAACTGCTGAAAGGTTTTTCTTTGGGATATTGATTCTTCATCAGGATTCTTGCTACCCGTCTGGCAAATCGGCGGGGATACCATTCGGAAAAGGTCGACCTGGACACTGTTTGGCCAAACGCTCTTGTGGATCCTTCGATCTGTTGATGTTGGTGATGTCCATGGCAACGCAGGGAATCCAGTTCATCAAACAACTTGCATGAAGACGTAGCGATATGTAATCCCTTTTTCATGGGCATGTGATTCACAGGATCTTTCAAATCACCGGCCACACACAAGTCTGGATATGCATGTTTGAGATACCTATAAATTTCCTGCACGTACGGAATGGACATCATGAGGGATCCTTTGGGCTGTTCCCAATGGACATGGCGTTGCAAATGAACTTGGTATCGGCACAGCGCAAGGCAAAGAGCTACTTGGATGAGACTGTCATGTCTATCAGCATGGATTTTGTCCCAGCTTTCTACGGATCTTTGACTATTGAACTGTGACCAACATGACCAGGGTTTACAAACCGGACTCATCCAAATATTTCTAGGCTGGTGCCTTCCAACCAACTGGAACAGCTTGGCTCGGCCTTCTTCAGATTGCAGGTCTCCTTGGCAGAGTCCAAATCTCATGGCTTTCCCTCCGAGAGCGTTTACTTGATTTGTCAGATTGCTATCTTCACTGCAGAACACTTCAAGCAAGTCTATGGATTTACCTAGTGGTCTGGTTTGGGAAATGATGTTGCTCATCTCTTTCTCAATTTTGTCCACTGTTTTCCAAAACTGCAAACGTTCTTTGTTCAAGTTGGATTCTCCAAACGTGTCAACCTCCCCTGCTGTCAGTGCTGAGTCGCATGTAGTCATCTCAGCCATCAATTGTTCCAGGGATCGTTCCATTCCTCGTCGATGGGCATCGTCGGGAAGGTCTCGACCGGCTCTGGCACCAAGTGCTGCAGGATCTGGTGCAAGGCATTCTCCAGATTCCCCATGCGAGCCTGAAGAGCATGGATCTCGGACTGATCTTCCGACGGTACCCACGGAGTTTCCACACCTGTCGACTCTCCGGGATGACCGGATGTCATCGGCATTGCCTTGGCTTTGGGACGTGTCATCATGACCTTGGGAGTGGCATGACTGGCGGGTGGCACTGGTGATTGTTGAACTCCTTCTCCATGAGTCTCTGTCTCCTCTATCATCAACTTGATGAATCGAATCATTTTTCGATGGGACAACTTCTTGCTGGACTCGTAATGTTGAAGGAACCACTTGGTCCACTCCGGGCTCGACATCCACACCTCCATGTAGGTCTTTCCGACGTGGGTTTTGCCAAATGACATTCTCTCTTCTTTCAGAGCTGACAGTGGGATGTGATCGATGGCTTCCTCCTCTCTGGGTGAGAGGACTGCTTGGACCTTCTGGAGACGGTGGGTCCACTCGCTCATGACGTTCACACGATGCGATCACTTGGGACACGACGGGATTGCTTTGAGGCTGATGGTCTTTCGGATTCTGTACAAACTTGGATTGATCATCTTCTGAATTGCATGACGTGGACATGATGCTGTTCGGCATGTTGGTTGATTTCAAAACGGTCTCTTGGCATGACATGTGATGTTGAGTTTCGGCTGACGAGCTGGCTTTTACCTTTGAACCTGTGACGACCTTCTGAACATCTTCCTCTCGACCCATTGATTCCGATATTTTGCTTTCTTCGGCGATGCTGTCTTGTGCAAAAGTTTCAGCAACCCTGGAGGCATCTTTCTCTTGACAACCCGCCTGAATCAGTTTGTTTAAATCAAGCAGGTACAAGCCTTTGGGCGACAAAGCAAGCTGGACCTGGGTACCATGTTTAGGCATGACCAAGGCATTTGAGGCGGTGTCAACCACTGCACCAAGAGCTCTCAACAGGGTATTGGAGAGTAAAAACGGTGTGGCACCTGGGACCACAGCGATTTTCAGGCCTAGGCCGCCTACTGGAACCATGATTGCGTGTTCTGATTTAAGGGTCCCTTGGTTCCCAAAACGAAACACTACATCACAACGGCACCTTCTGACCTGCTTTCTGATCTCCGGCAACAACCCTTGAAGAAAACTTGGAACATGTTCACTACCAATAACCGTTTTGGTCGCCCCAGTATCTATTATTCCCCATGTATCATGTGTTGAAAACAAGGCTTCGGCACTGTCCATCTCGGAGAAACCAGCATTGGCACTTTGTGCCCGGGATGCTTTGCTTGAAACTTTGATGGCGTTCCTTTGGATCGGAACCGGTGGGACGGATGCTCTCTCAGATTCACAGGGCTCGGCACGGCTGTCAACGGCGGATGCACGCAAGCGAGATTCAATCCTGCTCACAAGGGATGTCACTTTGGGATTATGGCTATCCGTGTTACCCTGAACATAGCTTCTAATCCTCTCCCTAGTTACCCTCATGTTATCAGAATGGGCTTTCTCGACATGCTTGTACTGACCGCTCTTGGAAAAAACTGACTGTACACAACAAATTGATGTGGCACTACGGATGTCCTGGGTAGATGGTGGATCCACCTCTGGCAACTTCATGAACTCGAGCGGCATGACTTCATCCATGGAAGCGAGGGCTCCAACAGAGAGCGTCACTGGGGCAGAGGCTGCGGTGCTGGAAGAGGCACTTTGACTGCGCATTGGACACTCACTTTTCCAATGTCCTTTACGTCCACACAGTCTACAGTTACTTTCCAATATCCTCTGCTGCAAGCTCTTGCGGCCTGACCATGGATTCTTGAATTTCCCTTTTCCCTTGTTCTTTCCTTTTCCCCGACCTTTCTGAACTGGCCAGAAACCTCGAAATCTCACTTTTTCACTCAGCTTCCTCCGGGCCTCAGTGTAAGCTGAAAATGCCGAGGAGAGATCGGGATCACCTTGAAGTATGTCGGCTGCTGCACTTTCGAAATCGGCCACAAAACATGCATCCTCATCGCCTTCGGCGATAAGAGCTTCCATTACTTCTTCTTCCGGTACATCGTCATGCTGGGCAGTGAAAGCTGGGTCATCAGCTTCAGTTTGGTTTTCGGTTTCATCTAATGCGGCATGAACTTGATCATACACCTTGGTCTTACCTGAAGTCTTTGACAACCCTGTCATCTCTTGAAAGAACGTGGTTCCCAAAAGTCTGATTGCCTCTTGAACCCGAACGATGGTGAGTTTCCCTTCTAGAGATGCATCACTTTCCAGAATCACTCGCTTCTTATCTTCGCTGCTGAGAAGCGATCCCCTCAGTGTGATGTAAGCCTGCAGATCTTCTATCTGAAGCTTCTGGGTTCTAAGCTTTGTCCACAAAATGTCCGCACGGGCCAGAAAAGAGTCGTGACTCTCGTCGGACTTCTGCGTACACTGGAACAAAGCTCTCTCTGCGTCGGCATACTTTTTCTCAAGGCCAATTTGGCCCCAATGCCCTCCAAGGAGTTCAATGAGGCGTTTCACGCCTTTCGAATCATTCACACAGAGCTCTTCCTGATGTAACTGGAGTTTTGCAAAGGCTGACCCTGATGTATTCAAGATCAATCGTGTGATCAACTCTGACAGTTTTCCAGGAGGCCAAACTGCTAAGACCAACTGTATCTTCTGCTGATACACCTGTAAGTCATCCTTCGATGGGTCGAAACTCGGAACTAAAATTGCAAGCTGACTTGGGATGCTTGTGGATGCTTCTGCACCTTCGACACCAGCCATTGCAGAGTTGTAAGCGCAGGATCCAAAAACCCCAACAGGCCAAAAATTGAAACCTGATCACCAAGCGAACTTCCAAAGGTTCCCGGATGCCCCCAGCGCGTTTGGATTGCTGGGGGCTCCGCTACCAATGTGATTGGTCAGCGGATATCAACTCCAAATCACCAAGCGAAGCCTCTTCGCCCAACCTTCAAGCTCGTGCAGCGGCCTCGCTGCTTTTTCCACAAACGCTCCAAGTAGCCCCCAAGCTACTAACGGCCGTCCACGGCCAATGCCAGTTCTATGGCGTCAAGGCTTTTCCCACCCGCCTCTCTTCCTGAAAAACCAATGGCTTCCTGAGCCACGTGCCTGCATGAGACAGCCCCTTTGGTTACCTGAACGTGCATGGCATGGTGCAACAAGTGGAAATAGCCAAGGACACTGGTGGGAAATGAGCATGATTCACAATCAATATATATATATATATAGATATACATATATATATATATACACATACATATACATATATATATATATATATATATACGTACATATATTACATATATATATATATGTAATATAAATATATATATATATATATATATATTGAGTTGTATTGCTTACCCTCTGGTAATCGAACATGGCTGGAGAATCCTAGATTAATAGAGGATTTTCCCAGCTAACTTCCAGTTCGGGGATTTCCATGTGCCATGGTTGATGACCTGAGGGTAGTTCAAGCTCAGCTGAATCCTTGGTTGTTGTTGGTGGAACCCTCCGTTGTTCCTGGTTCAGTTCCCTATATTGTTGTTGTTTAATGTGGTAAACCCTGGCTGCCACAAACTTGCCATTACTTGTAGGGGATGGTTTTAATCCAACCCGTAAAAATCGTGATGACTTGGGGATGGTAAACATGGCATTGGGTTTACCCAGTAATTTGTTTATTCTAGTCATTTTCCCAGAATTTCGTGGTTGCTATCCCCCCAATGAACATAAACCCTGAATAGGGGGTGGGGGGTTACCGTCCTCTAAGAAAGGTAGCGATTCGCTGGGTCAAACATTCAAAAATTCACAGAAATTCATGGTCAATCGACGCTTTTGCTCGAAGATTTCATGGTTCATCATCATTGCATTTATAATCCCGTAAAATCCCATGGGATCATTTCAAATCCCATTAAATCCCATTATGGTACCATTAAACCACCAATATATATAACCCCAAAAACACATACAAAAACCATGGTTTTTGCCATCCTCGTAGCATTTTTCTGGGGTGCAGCCCCCATGAAAAACGTCCAAGCGATCCGCCCTGGCCAGGTCCGATGGTCGTGTGACCTGTTGGGGTCATCGCTTCTCCGGGGGTGAACCTGGCAGCGTGGCAGCGCAGTTGACTGAGGCCAGGGGCCCCGGCCAGGCTTTGGGGGATTGACCTGGGTGACCTGGATGACCTGGGTTTGTTTTGAAGGTGATTTACCCCCATAAACCAGCATAAAACCAGCATAAACCAGAATCCTCTGACCCCTGGATACCCCTGGTCTTTTTCCATGACCCATGACCCCTGATCTGATCGCTGATTAAGATCTGACATTTATGATACCATCTGGTTATTTATCATAGCCATGGAAAATGCCAACCATAAATGGAGGTTTCTAGCTGGGAAAATCATCTATTTCTATGGGCCATGGCTAACCCATGGCTATATTAAATAACCAGAGGGTAAGGTGATTTATGTGATTTGCTATTTTCCCAATGGAACATCCACCAGACATGGTGAATCTATAGTGAATATTTCTTATTTTTTGGGGGAAGCGAATCCAAGATGATGGTGATTTTATGGAGAATGGGAGAGGATGGCAAATGGGAAGAGTGTTTTGAGACTTGCTGAGATAAAAAATGGGAAGAAAATGGCAAATGCAATGGCTTTGAAAAGTGATTTAGTGGTGATTTAGTGGTGATTAATGGGATTTGATGGGATTGAATGGGATTATAATGGGATTTAAGGTAACGGTTGGAAATAATAGGAACAAAGAAATCCTTGAGGGTATAAACATACACACACATTGTTTTTTCCGATCATGTTTTTGAAATATGTAATGGGTTAGTGATATCTATTTCCTATATTAATCATGCCATTATTACTGGATTGACGGAACTGGAAAGATCTTAGACATTTGTAAGGGATATCAAAAGTACAGCCCTCTAAATCCAAATGCGCAAAAAAATGACAATTTTTGGGGTAAACCCACTGGATTTTCCCCGATTTGTATATTTTTATAGCTTAACCTGATCTCAGATTTATGGTTTAATGGTGGTTTAATGGTGATTTAATGGTGATTTAATGGTGATTTAATGGTGATTTAATGATGATTTAATGGTGGTTTAATGGTGATTCACTAAATGAATTCCAACTTATACTTCACTGGCTTTTCCCATCTCCTGGATTAGGAGATGGGAGTTCTGAAGTCAATTTTGGATCTCCAGTCACCACAAGGTGGTGCCCCCTCCAGTTATAAATTGGTTATAAACCCATTAACTATAGATATATCACCTACAAAAGCCCATAGTTATTGGAGTTATGTTCACCAACTTAGCTATCCAACGGGGGCACCACCTTGCATGGCTTAGTCGTCATCCAGTCGCCATGACGACTGCTGGACCTGTCAGGTGGTTCTCTTGACCTCTTCGGAGGTGGCTTTCACGGCCCTGCGCGCGGATGGCACAGTGCTGCGCTGGGGGCATCCATACTACACCAGGCGCCGTCGAACTCTCCTGGAGTTGATGATGTTCCGGTCCATCCACCAGAAATGGGGAATCTCTAAGGAAGATATTTGTATATATAATTATACTGGTTGGTGGTTTGGAACATTTTTTATTTTCCCCAATAGCTGGGATGATGATCCAATCTGACTCATATTTTTCAGAGGGATTGAAACCACCAACCAGTATTTGTATATATATATATACATACATACATATATTTGGGCCCCTGAAGCAAATCCAAGCGAAAACGTATATTTTTGTCCCCTTCTTGGGAGCATCAAATGATGGCATCCATAATATATGGGGTAATCCTTCCCATTGACTAATATTTTTCAGAGGGGTTGAAACCACCAACCAGATAATATATATATATAATATTTCTCAATTTTTCTGAGGGGTTAAGAGTTAAGCATCACCTTTGGGTGGTGATGTTTACAGAGGAATGGCCCCCAAAGCTGTTTTTTTCATTCTTGAGGCTTTGACCAGTTGACCAGAGCCAAACTTTCCCCCTGCATTTTGGAACAGGCAATTTGAAAAAATAACAAGTTGGTAAAGGGTAGCAAATGCTAGTTTAATTGTTTTTGGCACCTCTATGGCAATGACAACATCATGTACATGTAATGATTTATGTACATACAGACATATATATATATATGAGTATACAATTATATATAGATATATACTGTGTATATATATGTATATGTGTATATATATATATTTCTACATAGTTAACCCATATATATATATATACAGTAGAACATAACCCAACTAGACTAGTCATGACATTTGACTGGAAAATAACACGTTTCAGGTGCAACCTTTATCCAGCTGAATGAGAATTTTCTGATTTCGGGGGGTTCTCCAAAATCTGGATGTTGGCGACGTCCCATTCAATAATTTGTCTATAAATTGTTTAGATATGGCTATCTTATTGGTGGTTTCAATCATTTTTTATTTTCCATAATATGAATGGATAATCCTTCCCAACTGACTTTCATATTTTTCAACATGGTTACTCTAACCAGGAGTGTAAAACCACCAACCAGCTATAGATTGCTATAATATAAATGGTTCTAAATGGCTTGAAAATTTGCTAATTTGATGGCTATAAATGAGTGATTTCACAGGAAAAGGATTTGGTTTGATAGTAACAGTTTTATAGTTACATAATTCTAATGAATTTACAGTGGGTTGCATCTGGGTAAATTATGGAGGCCTCACATTTGGAAAGCCAAATTTCGATGGAAACTAATCTTCCAGCCTCCTATTTGGCAGGGTCTACGTACTCGTACCTCATCCACTCCTGGAGAACCCCAGGCCAATGAAGGCCGAATTTTGGATACAAACCTGTGGAGTCTTTGGATACCGAAAGTTTCCCAAAAAAACGCAAAAAATGACTCATCGCTGCAGCCACTCAGTCATCACTGTTCTGGTGATTTCATTTTTGATGTTCATTCTAAGACCAAAATTTGGTCCCCTCTTCCTAATGGAATGTACAGGAAGTGGCCATCCAGTTATAGATGTTGACTTATAACCTTATCATACCTTATCTCACTGGTCCGATACTTCACTATATCCACCATAAATCCCAGGTATATTAGTTATATACCAACAGAAACCCGATCGAACTGGTGGTGCCCGTCCTGTATGGGCAAAATTCTTGGTGCGACCCATCGGTCTAGAGTTCTCCACTGACTGCTGGCTGCGGGATGTTTGCGGGTTTGGGAGGTTCCCCATCATTTTACCCTCTGGTAAACTCACGTAACTATGGAAAATCACCATTTTTAATGGGTAAATCCACTATAAATGGCCATTTTCAATAATTAGCTATGTTAGTTTACCAGAGGGTATCCAACAAGACTGGCATTTTTGGATACTTTGGGGGTCCCCCACCCCACATTTGGACAAAGGGCCAGATTTCCCCTGAGATTTTGGATGTTGAACCCGGGCTCTGATCTGATTGGCGAAATCTCTGGAATTTCATCAGTTCCGTGGGTTATTTAAGGGGAGGATATAGCCTAAAATAGTTATGAATCGACACTGTTTTTTTTGTACCCCCAGCAGTAAACTGGGGGTTTGTCAAATCCTGGGTTCACATTACTAGGCAAAGAGTTCCTTCCAAACAACTGCGAATTTTGGCACCCGGGCGCCAAGTGACATAGAAATGTGGCATGGTCAATGGCATTTTTTTCAAAATGGTCATACCTGAAATTGTAGAAGTATATGCCATAGAAGATGCGCACCGTTTTCAATTCCAAATGGATCAA